TTTTTTTTTTTTTGGTTGCTTTTATTCTTCCCTTTCTTCTCTTTCATTGCTTTTCAAAATTAGGTGTAAGCATATGTAAAGGAATTATTTTGATGGCTAGCTACAAATTGGTACAAAATTGCTAATCTTTTTAGGAGATGGACATTTAAAAGATAAATCATTGTGAAATGATTTTCCAATCAGATATATCAGTTCACAGCGATGTTATTTGATGGGTCTTTCCAGACATGTATGCTTATCGTAACTGGACCAACAAGTCTTTAATATTTCTACATAACCTGCTTTTTGGTCATTAGAGAAAATAAACAAAGAATGATACTAAGAACTAAAATAAAAATCAAATATTATACAGTAAATATTGATGTGCTTGTACATCCTTTCAAAATATGCATTGACACTACAAACACGGCATGGCTTGAGAGTGCACTCTGTGAAACAGAATATATATTGATAGTCTGGATTTCATTAGATACTTGATCCATTTAATTCATTTATAAAAACTTTGCACACTTAACACAATAAAAAGATAATACTTCTTCGTCTTTCGAACTATTCGAAAGTTGACACTACTCCCCAAAACCACCATTTTACTATTTGGAACCGATTTGACCAGTCAAAACCCGATTTTGGAGTAGTTTGAAAATTTTGTACATATTGAGAGGCAGTCTGTCGGCTTAAATGAATGAGAAGCAAAGTGAAGAAGTTTAATTTGGGAAACAAAAAAATGACTATTATATATTAAAGTGGATTGTGTACGCACACAGCTGCATCGTGATAAAAGATTGTCTTGGAGACAACAATGACTTGGAATGACCGTAAAACACTACTTGTACATTATTGATACATTTGATTCATTTCCTTGTATTATTGATTAAACTAGGTCTTAAAGGAAATAAGTTATTTTGCATATCCCTTTTGCATTGATTTGTATAAATTTGTAAAGTACTTTAGTCTATCCTTTATAGCCGTTTATGTGTTGACGCTTATAACAATTATAGCAAATACTCTCTACACAAAACTAAGTTATATGAAATGGCGGCATAGTTCCTTACGATAAAACTAAAAATAACTTAATGCGAAAACATTGAAGATGCCATTTATAACCTAACATAAGTACCACACCAACAGGGAAGATGTTGTCCAACATTTCCTGTTTTTGAAATATTTCTAGGCAGACTGTCGTAGTCATGATCCATTACTAGCTTGCATACTCCAAGTTCATAAAATTGGTAAGTATGTTCAATGTGAAGTGTTGGAACAGGAAATGAATTAAATCATAACCTCAATATTATTTTGCTACAGCACAAAGAAAAATTGGTTAAAACTCGTAATGCGAACAAAACATTATGGTATGTCTTTCTAACCTCAAAGAACTCAGAACTATCGACCAGTGCAGTCAATGAAAAGAAGAATCTTAGTGTAGGAGCAACAACCACTCGCTGCTTATCTGTATCCACAGAATTTTTTGAAATCCTGGTATCAGTGCGCCGAAAATTTCCCTGTGCATGGACATAGCTAGTTTAAGGTTTGGCTAAATAAGTAGCTGAAATAATTTTGGAAGTGCATTTCTTTTTTGGCCTTTATGACTAAACCCCCTTCTTTTTAGGCTACTCTGTGAAAAAGCCAATCAGTGATCAACCCAACTTCCATCCCTATTCAATGTCGATCCAGGCTACGGAGCCTGGATCAAGCATGGTCGACATTCGATACAACGTCAAGCTAGGGGAGACAAAAAAAGAAGGGTTTTTCTATATCTGGACAAGGGGAATTCCTTCTTTTTTCAGATAAAAATATGTAATTAGAGATTACTAAGAAGATGAACTTGCGTTGCACGTGTTTATTGATATTTTTATGGTTTAAAAGTTATTTTCATTGAACTTATATTTAAATATTGTAAACATTCCATCAGCTTAATAATAATAATGATGATATATATATATATATATATATAATTATATAAATTTAATGGGAACTTAAATGTAATCTATAATGGAATTAATTTAACTTAAATAAAAATAAATAATATTTTTTTTGTTAAAATAATGAAATCAATCAATGATTGTCGATTGTCAGCAAAATCTTTTTTATCTTTCATTTCTTAATTAATGGCCGTCTTTTACCATTGTTTTAAACCATAATCATCATTGTCACTATCATTTGTAGTGATTAGTTTTTAATTGTTAATTCAAAATTAATCAACGCCATGTTGAATATTTTATCTTTCCCTGATCTTTGATTATAGTGTTGTCACATTGAATTTTTTTTTCGCTTCGTCGATAACATGTAAAATTTGAAATCCAAAGCTCAATCTTTGTATTAAGATACATTTTCACATGGATATATGAACTATATAGATATATATTTATATATATAAATATATATATTTATATATATAGATATATAGATATATATTTATATTTTATATATATAGATATATATACAAAGCTAGGTATAAATGTAAAAATTAGTATGTTATCTTAACATAAAGTAATAATGTTATTCATTCATTATAAAATATACTAGGAATATTATATTTTTACATTTCTAACTCAAATTTTGAAAACATTTATACTTATTTATTTTTATGAGATTATTAAAACTATAATCAATATATTAAAAATTGATTCGAATATCATGGAAGCAAAAAATTTTCTCATAAACCAAAAACATGCCAACTAACTAAGCAAAAGTATTAATAATCAATGAACGATGATAATGTTAATTTTGTTTCCTTCTTTCAATACATAATCTAAAAACAAACATCATATGACAAATAAGCATGTATACATTAGAAAAGATATATTCATGAGTGAACTATAAAACAAAATAAATTTAGCTAGATTGTTCATTGTCATACATACAACAAATCTTGAAAAACATAATAATAATAATCAGGAATAAATGCAATTTATTTGTCACAAAATTAAGAAAGAAACTCAATATTTGCTTATATAACTTATATAGTTATATGATAATTTATTAACTTATATGATTATTTAAGTCAACTAAATAATCATATCAAACTACAACAAAAATATTTTAGTATCTTGAAATTTGTTACAAATTCTACAAATGCTATGTGAAATTATATTTATTAAAGGGATAAAAATGTAGGTTTGTATAAGTACAAGTTTTTAGCATATATGTTTGGTCTGAAACTTTAATTATCTCAGAAAAATAATAAAAGCAAAGCTAACAATTATTAAACACAAGGAATAATGTAATTAATTAATTATCTAAATTAACTTAATGCTGTGATAATACATAAATTAAACAATATGATCTAGAATATTTTATAGAACAATTAAGAAATTATAAATACTACTTCTATAGTAGGATTATATAATGTTTTACTAAATAATTAATATGAAAAAATTAAAAAAATAATTAAAATTAGTTGCTGCGGGGATTATAGTTTGACTTGTATCATTTATATATATATATAACACTTAACCCTACTATTTTTCAATTTAATTTTACGTAGAAAAAAAAAATATCATACAAAATAACACACTAAACGATATGATATTTTAAAACTGAAACAAATATGATAACCGCTGTTAAAGAAAAAAACTTCTAAGATTATGTTATTTTCATGTATTAAAAGTTATATTTAAAATCTTAACAGCCAAATTGATAACTAATGTAAATATAGAATAACATTGTAGAATATAAGGGAGAAAAATTTAAAATATAAATTGGTATCAAATTCGTAAAAATAGCATTTGAAATTATAATTATTCTTTTGGTAATTTATAAATATAAGGTATTAATAAAGAGATATTAGAAATTTATATTTTATCCAAAATTTTAATGATCTCATATAACATAAGAAAGATAAAAATTTAACCTTGTATCAATCACATTATCTTTATTTTATTTGTCTAATTTATATTTATATAATTGCTTAGATAATCTTAATGTCTATATCAACTAAAATGTAAACTAAAGATAAAAGAAAGAATAAAAATATAGAAGAATGAACAATTTTTGATTGAAAAATGAATGTAACAATTAATAATTGTAAATACTTAATCTATATATATTGAATAAATAATCTAAAATAGTAACTTTGACTTTGTAATTAAATTGGTTGACTTACTATTTAAGGAAATATAGAAAAAATTATTTCAATATATTTGGAAAAAAAAATCAAATTATAACTTACTGTTGCGAATCTTGCAATTTCGTTAATAGCATGACTTTCTACATAAATAAAGTGGTATCGAATTTGAACATTATTTTGTGATGATTATTAAAATAAAATCCAATTCTTTATATTAATTACAAACCACTGTAATTTTTTATTCTTTTGGTAACCAACCATATACCGTGATTTTCTACATTTCTTAAAAAATCAATGATTAACCTTTAGTAGAAAATATTATTTAAATATGCATGATAAAATTGCAAATATAATTACAAAATAAAAATTAAAATCAATTATGTCAACATGACATTCAAATTATTAGTTTAGAAACAAAAATCCTAATATTTATAATACATATTGTTACAAATTATGATAAGAAACCTACGGATCAAGTAGAACTATCCATCGAAATTGTTAACTTAGGAAAAAGCAAAAATTTTGATATGTTAATTATTATAAATGATAATGATAAATCAACAAGTGACCTCTCGAACAACGAGTCAACGATGTAAATTGTTAGCTTAGAAAAAATTAAAAAAATATATATATATATTTATAATGTATATTATTATCAATTATATGAATCAGTCAAAGTGGAACTGTCATATAAATTATTAGATTATAAAGAAGATTTAAATACTTGAGATATACATCCTTATAAATTATACAATAAAAAAAAATTATCAATCTAATTAAAAGGTACTGAATTTTTTAACTTCAAAAAAATATTTATTTCAATCATTTTTAATCAATTGTTGGTTATGATATTTGCCACAATTTTTTTATTTTAGCATAACTTATTTTGAAACTTAAATATTGTAAAAACGTGTGATTAAGGGAATATAAATAGAGAAGTATTTTGTTTGTATTATTTATTGATAATGTTTGAATATGTTAAATTGTCATTATCCTTAATTCTAAATAGGAACTCTAAAATGACAACTATATTATAAACATCAAAATCATATGTTAAATTATTATATACCGTAAAATAAAAGGAAAAAATTTTAATATTCAAAACTATTTTTGTATTAATCAATACTCTTTCATGGCTTTAATACATAAAATTAAGGAAAATGCTACAAGTACATAATATATGTATATAGAGAATCAGAGATGTACATAACACTCACATGGAGTGGGGTCCACTTGATTTTTTATTTTTGGTGGGTCCCACTCAATGTGAGTGTCATGTACACCCTATGTACAATATTATGTACCTATAGTATTACTCTAATATTTATAACTATTTTCCCGTGCTTCGCACTGGCTACGTACTAGTTACATTAATAACCTCACAATTAGTAATAGTGTTGATATTTTTGGTAATTCAATTTTTTTCAAGAATCAACTCTAAAAGAGGGTTTTTATTTAAAGGGTTATAGATTAAATGAGAGAGAAATAGTTGTCACCTTTATTGGAAGATGGAGGGCTCTGCACGAGGCAACATGCTGCAGACAACCCATTGAAAATAGCAATTGAGACCCAGACTTCCCATATTTGTGGCTGATTCTCAGCAGCAAAGAAAGCTCCGCTTCAAGAGTGCAAAGACGCTGCCTAGAATCTATGGATAACCCACCATCCTGAATGACAGCAACAATCAAGCAGCTAAAAGAATCAGTTTACGAACATAAGAGGCGGGGGGCGTACATCCACTTATAACTAAACATACGATCACCAAAATATACGAGCCAAGAATACAATAGTTCCATCAACGTTAGCATATAATGAACCCCAACATGATTGTTCAGGTAAAGTAAATGTACTGCATACACATTTTTGTGTGTGCTTATGCATACAAGTGGATTCGATTACAGCAAGAAATATATAGGCGGTGATAATGGCTTGCAGATGTCCAGAAGTCTGATGAGAAATACACTAAGAAATGGCAAACAAACAACAATTTATATTGGAAGTATAAAACGGAAGGGCCAGTAAACTATTTTTTGGGCACGCAAGTGGTTATGTCAATTTCAGTAGTATTTGTCTGTCAGCTCGCATGCAATTTTGATTTACTCAGGGTAACAGGCATGCTTGGAAGTATGCATGTAAGTATCCAAGCTGACTTCAAATAAAGTTAAGGCGGGAAAAAAAAA